ACATATATTACACACACACACACACACACTCACACACACACACACACACACACACACACACACACACACACACACACACACACACACACACACACACACACACACACACACAACACACACACACACACACACACACACACACATTATATATATATGCGAATGCCCGCATGTTTGTATGTATTCACATATCCCTTCATCTATATATACACCTACATACTAAAATCCCCAAAACGTCTTCCCTCCTCCTCTCTATATTTACGGGAAATGTTAATGAACGAAAATCACGCGATACGGGACCTCCTCCTTCCCGCCCTGACTTTCAAACTTTACTCATATTCCTGTTTTGTGTCGTTTCTTCCTTAAAGCCGATCGTTAAAAGCCATTCGGTGACTCTTAATATCCTGTGCTTAACGTGTGTTTAGATAAGTTTCCATAATGTTTCTTTTTTTTTTTTTTTTTTTTGAGGTCGTGTTGTGGTTTTGGATTATGTTTTCTTATATTTTCTTTGTTTGTGTGTTTTGTTTGTCGGTTGATGTTTGTATAAATAATGAAGAAGTCTAGAAAAAAATCTTTAATCGTTGTGAAAACAGATAATGATTAATGTTAGGTTTTAAGAATCACAAAATGATGTTTTGATTTTCCTCAAAAAATAAATAACGCTTCTTTTGACATATTAATATCATCTTGCTTCACTTTATGTCATAATATCTCCTCAGAACGTACCTTAAAACATATAAATAGACAAATTGAAAAAGAGATAGATGCCAAAATAGATAAATAAAAGATGGATTGATATAAACGAAAAAAACAGAGCGACTTTCGTGATTCTATCCTGATGAGGATTAAAAAAAAAATATCGAAACGTGTGAGTTTTATGTTTTCTTGTTTTCCTTTTTTCTTCCCTTTTATTTCGCTTGATATTATCCTCCATTTTATTCATTTATTTCATTTTTTATTATTTTATTTATTTGTTTTTTGCGGTCGTATTCAACCATCCTTTTATTTTTCTTCGGTATTTGTGTATTGCCTATTATCCAAGTCTTTCTTCTTCTTCTCCTTCTTGTTTTTCTTCGTTATTTTGAGTACCAAGTCGTAGTTTAATTCTCTCATTATCTCTTTCTCTTATACATTACCGTATTTGCGTATTTACTTCCTTTATTTACTGTATTTATTTTACTTAAATGTTGCTGTGTTTGTGTAGTTGCCAATGAGTATTTATTTCGTAAGGTGTTTCGTAGTATATAATTATTTTGCTTTTGATGTCATATCCTGTCTACGCCTCTGTATTCCAATATTTTTGTTAATATTATCGTTATTATTATTGTCATTACAATCATTAATATATCATTATAATTTTGATTATCTTTATTATTATTATTATTATTATTATTATTATGATTATTATAATTTCTTTTTTATGATTATTATTATTATCATTACTATTTTTATCATCATTATTATTATTATTATTATCATTATTATTATTATTATTATTATTTTATTATTATAATTATTATCATTATTATTATCATTGTTATTATTATCATTATTATTATTGTTTTTTTTTTTTTTTTTTTTATTATTATTATTATCATTACTATTATCATTATTATTATTACTATTATTGTTGTTGTTGTTCTTGTTGATGCTTTACTATAATTATTATTATTGTTATTATTATTATCATTATCATTTATATCATCGCAATTATCCTTATTATTATCATTATTATTATTATTATTATTATTGTTATTATTATTATCATTACTATTATCATTAATATTGTTATTATGATTATGATTATTATTATTATTATTATTATTATTATTATCATTACTATTATCATTATTATTATTATTATTATTATCATTATTATCTTTATTATCATTATTATTATCATTATCATTATTATTATTATTTTATATTTCCTTTACAATCTAAACTCTCATACGTAAGTATTTACTGCACATATAATATTTTGCACTCCTGTTTAAGTATCTGTTAATGTGTGCCTTTCAGTCTATGTTCATATGTATTGCATTTATTGTAATTTTTCTAAGAATTATGTATTTGCTTCTCTGTATATTTGCATTTGGTGTATTTGTTCATTTATGTGTCCTTATTCATTCTTTTTATTCATCTGTATGTATTCATCTCTATTCTTTATATATATGTATCCGTATCTATGTCTGTTCTGCTTTATCCATATGTATCCATATTTATGTAGCTACGTCTTAGTCCCGTATACTTAAGCTATAAGTATCTTTGTTCCTCTATTGTATTTATTCATTTATTTGCCTATTTATGTATCTTTGTCTTTATCAGTGTTTCTATACGTATCCATTTCTATTTGTCTTTATTTATGTGTATGTATCCACATATATTTATGTCTTTCTTTACCGATATGTATCTATATTTATATCTTTATTTATCTCTATGTATCCATTTCCACTTATATTTTTTGTCTATTTTTATGTATCCATATCTATTCCTTTATCTT